AAGTCCTATTTCAAAATCTGAATTGAGACTCCTTGCTCAGTTTTCATATTGCTGTTAATAGCTGCTATACAGATTGCTGACATCCCAGCAGCTATGTGGCTAACGTTCTCTGATGGATCTCTTGAAATGTTTGTTCAAACAGGGACAGAAGCGTGGGAGGTCCTCGGGGAACATCACCAGGCAGGGGGAATGGAAAAGGAAAAAAAGGGCGGCAGAACAAAAGACCAATTTTTACGGCGAATCTGAAAGCTCAATAGCTTCATCATCTGCCACAGTTAATTCCTCTGTCATTGCGTTTGAATCTGATGACGATGAGCCCTCGTTTTCAGGCACTCTCAGTAGTACGCCTCAAAAGCAGTCTGGTCTGCAACATGTTCAAGCGGACTGTAGTTTCTCTAATGTATCCTCATTTTCAAATTTTCCTGATGATACATGCAATTCTACGTTCCACAACTCAGACACAAATAGTGTCACAATTGCTCCAGGTGAAGGTTTCAATGAGTACACTGAGGTTGCACTTGCTACAGGTGCAGATGAATTTGTAGACGATGTCTTTTTAGAAGCTGAAAGTGATGCTTTTGACTTGCAGTCATTTGATGACCCAGTAACTTATTGCTTGTTTTCGGATGATGACTTCGATGAGGATGAGGAAGTTTTCTTAGATGCAGATGATGGGAATTCTCGAAACGACGAACAAAGAGAAATCGAAGAACTGAATGAAGAGGAAGTATTTGCTGCATTTTGTGAGGGCCGAAAAGAAGCATCTGCACCAGATGTCGATCCTCTATCCAACTTAAAAACATTTCTTCGAGAATGGTCACTAGAACGTTGCACTCCTCTTAATTCTCTTACCCACCTTCTCCACGGTCTAAAATCAGAACATCCAGAATGTTTTGACAGTCTGCCCTCTGATGCACGTACCATTATGAACACACCAACCGATAAATTAGATCCTGTTGATGTCCCACCAGGAAAATATATTCATTTGGGTCTGTTGAATCAGTTTGAATTCATTGGAACTGTGATCACAGAAGCTACCGTGCTTACTCTGTTACTACTGTTCAACATTGATGGAATGCAATTGTTCGAAAACAGCTCTTGGACACTGTGGCCCATCTTAGTGACTATTGCATCCATACCATCCCTAGCTGGAAAGGTTTTTGCAATCGGACTTTATTATGGTCCTGCAAAGCCGAAAGATTTTTCAGTTTTTTTAAAGCCTTTCGTCGATGAACTGAAGGAAATTTTAATGAAGAGTGATGTATTGATCAAAGGTCAGTTTGTACCAGTACGACTTCTTGGCTTCTGTTGCGATACACCTGCACGCTCATCCATTTTAGAAACGGTTGGCCACACAGGATATTTTTCCTGCTTTAGATGCACCACTAAAGGAAAAACCATTAGCAAGAGGAGATGTTTTCCGAATGTTAATGCCCCCCTTAGAGAGGACAATAAATTTCGAAACAGAGTCTATAAGAAATTTCAACCTCCATCAAAGGAGGACTCTGCTTTATTGGAAGTTCCATCATTGCACTTCTGTAAGTCATTCGTGTTAGATACGATGCATATGGTGTTTATCGGTTGCACCAAGGCCTTCCTTACTTTGTGGGTCAAGGGGAAACGGCCACACAAGTTGCGCCCAGCCTTGCGTCAAGAACTCCAAGATCGGCTTGAAAGATGCATCCCGTTCATTCCAGCAGAATTTTCCCGCAAACCCAGAGAAATTCACCAAGTTGCCATTTGGAAAGCCACCGAACTGAGGTTGTTCTTGCTATACCTTGCACCAGTCCTCTTAAAAGGAATCCTACCAGTCGAAAACTACCTCCATTTCCTTGAGTTAAGTATTGCCATGACCATTTACCATAGTAGAACACTCATTGCTGATGAAGGGAATCGAAAATATGCAAAGTCTTTACTTGTCCATTTTGTCCAATCGGTCAGATCATTGTACGGAGAGGCTTATGTATCGCATAATTGTCATTCTTTAATTCACCTTCCTGAAGATGTTGAGTTTTTTAGAGAGTCTATTGATAATTTCACTCTTAACAGCCTATCGGCATTTCCATTTGAGAACTTTATGAGTTTTTTTAAAAGATTCACACGGGGTCGAAGCAAGGCTCTGCAACAAATTGTCCGTAGGCTACGCGAGTTATTTGGATCTGTATTCTGGAGGCAGAAATATTCCTCAAAGCCTAAAGAAGGTATCAAACTGCTCAAAGAGCACAAGCAGGGGCCAAAGCCTCTATTCTGCAATGGTCGGCAATATAAGGTAGCCGAGTTTCCGTCATTCACTCTTTCTTCAGAAAACCTGGCTGATTGCACATGTGGCACTGACAAAGGCACCGTTATCCTTGTTCAAAATTTTATTTACGATGAAGAACTGGACACTAAATTTGTTGTTGGCAGGAGATACCTCCAAAAGTACAATTTGTTTGCTGAACCGGTGGCGGAAAGCTCAAAATTGGGAATTTAAAAAGTAGCTCAGTTATCGAAGAAAGTCGAAAAATGGCCACTTTCATCCATCGTTACAAAATATGTCAGACTTCCATATAAAGAACATTTTGTTGTCTTTCCGGAGCTTCATATTGACTAGTAGCTTCCACACTGTCCTCGCCTATTTGTTAAATTATGTAAGTACAATGAAAACAAATTTGGTGTAATTCTTTTTCGGTTTTTGCTTTCGTATTGCTTGACCTTCCTGGACTTTTCTTCCTCAAATATTCTTGAGAATTTCCAATTCCTGTAAGCATTCGAGTTGGTTTTTAAGTTATCCCTGAGTTATTCGGTAGGTCTAATTAGCAGCTTATTTTTAATGGGATTCTTAAGTGTGCGTTGTGAAAGTATTGTGGTTTGAAGTGTTTTGTTAGTTGTAATTCTTTTTCCTGAAGCTTAAGACATATTAGCGGCTCTGGTGCTTGCACTAGAGCTGCTATTTTTATTTTTTGGTCGAGCTGAAGATGTCCTGTCTTAAATTTCAATTTTTCCCCCTTCTCTCTCTTTTTTTTTCTCGTAGTTTTTTAGTTAGTTAGTTTTTTTAGTCAGTAAATTTTTTTATACACACTACTGTTTTCTGCCTTGTTATTGAAGAGCAAATACAAATGATCGACCGCTTTCATGGGTTTCAAACTTTCCGTCCTTGCTTCATTCATTCTTGCTTGTTATTTTGATTTATTTTTTAACACCAACTGGGACAATGGGTTTACTAGGTTTCACCTTTTTATAGTTTCTGCTGGTACGCATTTGCTGTGCACCCCAACTGCAGCACGTATCTTAATCTTCTAACCTTAACTCATGCCTCACCTTCACCGATTGCATGTGCCTCACAGCTGGAACCGTTTTGTACTTTTCTTCCATATTCTATCAGAATTTCCAAGAGAATTCTGAAAACGTGGTTTTCTACTCTGAACCCCATATTTCTTAGGATTCAAATGTAGTCCAACATTCCGATGAAGTTAAATAGTAATATTCAAAGCACTTTTATATAGATCGCTCGCGTGAAAGGAAGTAACTTTTTTGACTCATTGTAAAAGTAAACAACAAATGTGCCTTAAGTTTCCCTCAGAAGATAGGTACTTTTATAAATGTCGAGCCATACACAGTTGTTCCTCATCGGGGAATGCAATTCATTACTGCCCTTATTACTGATTGTTAGCCTATTTGCATTTTTGAAAAGAATACAAATAAAACCATAGAATAACCCTTACATCAAGCTAAACAGTTGAGAACCACTACCAGTTCCTTTTGGATCCTTTGAAAAATTGTACTTTCAATTATAAAGCGTTCTTCAATGTGGCGTTGCTGTTAGTTTTAAGTTTCCATGCTTGGCGAACAGGCGTTACTAAACATTTCTTATTGTTTGCAGGGATCAAAACCGACCAAAGATTCTGCAAACCCAAATGAAGGACTAGTAGAAGATCTTTGGACCTTAGTCTTCAACCTGGAGGAAGATGAATATGATGTTTTTTCAAACAATTGGATCCAAGATGATAAGGAAATCGAACAAGGCGTATTCAACGCTAAATATCCTCCAGAGAACTTTAATGCCAATGTTTTAGCAAAAAAAGGACAACAATATGCGGATAATTGGAAAACTGTGACCGTCAAATTAATCGAAAAGAACTATCGTAAGCATCTTCCTAATTTTATCCAATTTTCAGCATCTCATACTTTAATCTTATTCATTTCCATCTAATTTGTGTCCTTCAAGTTAGGTAACTGTACTTAAACAGTGCAAAAGTCAATTTTGTATCGAAAAGTACCAAAACTTTTAACGAACCAATTGATATATGGACCGCGTCAAACAGAATGGAACCAAGCCACATCGGCTAGGTATTGCCAAATTCAACAGGGGAATTCGATTTTTTATGAGAGAATGTTTGTGCGGATTCCTTTAGAAATTTTAAGGAATTTGCTATTTATTATGGAGAAAATTCATTGAAATTTGCACAAGAATCAGCACAACAGTTTTCATGTAAAAAATTAAATTGCCCTATTAAATTTGGCAGTAGCTGATGTGACTTAGTTCCTTTCTGTTCAACTTGGCCCATATGTAACTGTCCACAGAAAATGACCCCGAGAAATGACACAAAGATGCCCATGAGACCTTTGATCGCGACAGAAAAATTTTACTGCAATGGTTTATACAGATCGGTGACGAAAAATCAAACTTATGAGAACTCAAAAAAGTTTTTTATTCCATTCGTACATAGTAAGCTGTTGCGAGCAGTAAAGTTCTATTTTGTGCCAACATCCAGTGTCAAGTTTCATTATTAGCTTGGAATGCCATGCCCTTATCACAGCTATCTACAATTTTAAGTAGTTTTTTTCTTCAAAACTGCTTTTTTTAATTGCAACTTCCAGCTCCCATAACTATGCTTTGGTTTGCCATTTTCAGGCGTTTTTCATCTCAATATGTTGAAAGAACTGTCATCTATGCTTTTGTAACTCAAATTAGAGTTTTAGTAGACTAAGGTCCCTTCGCATATGTACTGTCTACATGCACATGATTTTTGTCAATTTATAATTATCAGTTCCCTCAAATTTTACGTGAAATCTTGAAAAAACATACAGGGTGTGCAAATGACAGAATATATCAAAGATAATTTCTAGCCCCTGAAGATTACTTGACCACACCCTTAAAATTTGCAAAAACCAAAAAGTTAACATACGTCACTCCGTTATCGTTACATTGCATTATCATTTGTCGTCTGTAATTTGTCATCACACAAAAGTACTCCAAACGGAAGATTAAAATTGCTGAGCGACTGTAAACCTCAATTTATTTGGGGGGGGGGGGTGCCAGCATTCATTCTGTGGTACTTTTCATTTCCACTCTCATTCCTGAGTCAAGATGAAGGACCGAAATTAAAGTGGGACGAGTACTTAAAATAAGTCTGTGTGAATATAAAATCGAATCAATTTTTCTGTACCACTATCGGTTCATTTTAATTTTTTTCCCACCTCTTACAGAATCATTTGAACAAGCCTTCACTGACATGGTGAGACTTACAAAAGGCCACCGTCTGAAAAGAGACAGTGATGCAGAATTGGCAAATTCTAAAAGGAAAAGAATCATGACGAAGTCGATAGAAGATTTTTTCGCCGGCAGTTCTAAGAAGGGCAAGGAGCCGAAGCACAAAAAGAAGCCAGTTTTAACTGAGATTCCAAAGTTTCCTGTAGACACAGTGAATCCCAAAACTCCGGATGCTAGGAAGAAGTCAACCCCTAAATTCCACACACCTGAAGATCTTTCAGCAGTCGAGAGCACCAGCTCAACGAAAGACAGAATTCATGCTGAGTCTCCACCCAAAAGAGCCCATGAGAAAAGTAGCAAAAATAAGCACTCATCTCAAAGTTTCTCGAGCCCGCAGAAAGACAGAATTCATGCTGAGTCTCCACCCAAAAGAGCGCATGAACAAAGTAGCAAAGATAAGCACTCATCTCAAAGTCTCTCGAGCCCGCAGAAAGACAGAATTCATGCTGAGTCTCCACCCAAAAGAGCGCATGAAAAAAGTAGCAAAGATAAGCACTCATCTCAAAGTCTCTCAAAACCGCAACAGAAAGTCGACTCAACTCCCAAGGACATGAGCTGCGAAGCATCAGGGGGGTGTTCGTTCACACATAACTCCATAATAATATACATCAAACTATAAACAAATGCTGAGATGCATTAATGATTATACTAAAATTATTAATTAAATAGCAAACAGTTCATTTCAGTATTCATTCATGGAATGACAATTTTTCTGTTTCAGACATCATGGGAAAATTCACGAGCTCCCCTAAAACTACAAAACTAAAAATTAAGGATGGGACGGAGAAACGCAAATTTTTTGGCGAGTTCACAGACGAAGAATCAACTGTAAGTACTTATACATTTTATAAAATGTTTTTAACTTTCAAAATTATTTTCCTTTGAGCGAGTGGAAATCAACGTATTGTTAAGAACATGTTAACTATTAATTGTTACGTGTATAAATAAAGCATTACAATAATAGCTACATATAGCACAATAGTCAAGTACTTTGACAGTACATGACTAGATATCAACGATACTAAATTAATCTATTTAACTTGTTTTCGCAACTGTTTCAGATATACATCAATGCCTGGGGCGAGAACATTCCAAACGAAGATCTTTCTGCCAAAAAAATCAAGTTCTTTAACTTGGTATTAAAAGAATACAAAAGTACGAAACATCTCGAATATAATTAAAGATCTTTCTATGAATTTGTAAACGAATAATTCACCTGCAATAAAATCCTTATATGTATTAAAATCTGTATTACTTCTGTACCATATTTTACCGAAACACATGAGTCATACTTGCAAAATTTTTGATTAAAAAAAATTAAAGAAAGAAAAAGTAGAAAAAAAACATTAAATCTTATATGAGGAAACCTATGGTTACATTCCATAGTTCTCGTGCAGTCTCGTGCATAGTTTTCGCCCATCCCAAGCAACAGATGTTTATGAGTTTTATGCGCACATTTACGTAGTCTTAATTGAGTCAGAAATTCGCGTGTATGCCACGATATTGATGTGAATAACTCGCAATTAATTATAATGATCTTAGAAATTCGCTAGGAACGCGACGTATTTGCCGTGATATCGTGTAATTTCTAATTTGTTTTACAAAATCCCTGGAAAAATCAAGTTCTCTCCGCGATGTAGATGACAAACCCGCCATTGCTGAGAATTAAACGAAACCGCTGGTTAAATCCCGTAATTTTCGCGGCTGAAAATCACCAGCTAACTTCAATTAAACATTGAACTAACAAAAGTATCAAATCTTCATGAAAATTACCAACTTTTGATTGGGTATTTTTCATTATTACAATTATCATATGAGCTTACTGAAGAACAGACCAAAATAGCAGCATACTACTAATCTCTACTTTTTTATCAAACCAGTGTGTCTCGCCAATTTTGAAATAGTAGATGATAATTCAGAAACACAATTAGTAACTGATCACTAATCACAGTGATTTCTGATGGTGGGGTTTTCCTGTGCGTAGCACGGGTTTTCTGCTAGTTTCACATAAAAAAGACATAAATTTATAAAAATTCCAGTTTTTTTTACGTAAGAAAAACTTAGATTTATGTAAATGTAAGTCTTTTTTATGTCAAATTGGCAAGAAGGCGTCAACTGTGGTGTAAATTTTACATAAAAAAAATGTAAATTCATGAACTATTACGTAAAACAAATTTAAAAATTACTTTTTTTTTATGTAAAAAAAAAAAATTGCTACTAGGGTACCTTCTTATTAGTGTGATTAAACAGTTGATAACGATATTCCTTTATGATTCCGCTGCCTGCTACCATTTAAGTGCTGAAATAAAAATTTTACATCGATGGGCAACCATTAATCAAAGGTGGTACCAATGAGCTTTGGCTAACTCTAATGAAATTAATCCTTGAGAGTATGATCTGTCAAATCATGCCTGTTGCCCTTTAATATGGTCCCAGGAAACCTGCTGACAACGTGGAGTTTAAGGACGAATTTAATGAAGAACTAAAGGTTTTCTGCATAGATGGCCTAGAAGATGATGGAACAAGGTACCAAGTAATTGTTCCGGGTCTTTGATACCCCTGCGAGAGCTTTTGTCCTTAGAATATCTTGTCCCAATGCATACCCTGCCCAAGATGCAAAATTGAAAAACCGCGACCGACCACGGTCAAGACGATTAAGCAAAACAAGTCTCTTTGAAACGGAGTGTGTGTATAACAACTTATGTCCGTTTAATTTTTAATTTTTAACACGTGTGGCAAGGCAGAGTATGCTTATATGTCGCATAATTTCACTGGGAATAAATTTAAAAAAATCATTTCTAGTCCAGATAGAAATATTTGTTTAGAATTGTCGAATAGGTGGCCAGATACGCAAAAACCATCTTGTAACATTCTCAACCATTTACTTTATAGATTGATTTTTTGAAAACTTTCGGCGGGAAGAAAATCGAGGACTTCTTGTCTCGAGTCTTGAGTGCCACATTCACAAATAGATTTGCCATGTCGTTCAACTGGACGGATGAGAATGGGAAGGACAAATTCGAAACGCTCACCTTTTTGACAGTGCTTAATAGTAAGTATCCATTTACTTTTTCTCAAATTATTTTTTATGATGTTAGATTGATAAACTGTTGTGCGAATTTTGAAAAGCACATAGGCAGTATTGCAAGTACGGGTTTTCGGTCTAATTAAAGAAAACTTTATACCCTGGGCGTATATAAGTCGAAATGAGAGCATGAATTGCACAGCAGATCTGAAAGTCCTGCATGAGGAATGAAAATTGATGCGCTGTTTGAAGTTTTTCATGTGTAACATATTGATTAAAGCAGTTATTATCAGAATTTTCCCTCAAGTAACCCTGCCGCGAAAAAAATTGCGTAGTTCTTCTCTAAGTGGGTGTTACAGTTTTTCTGATGGTCTAGAAATTAGTAGTTGATAAAAGATCCTGGCAGGAAGTTAGGTCTCGCACATATTCTCGTATTTACAGAGTTTTCTTCCCCGTAACTTCAACAGTTCGTAAGAAAATCCACAAGATAATATGGTTGACAAATGGGTTAAAAAACCGATGAAAGGTGATATTTTGCAATTCTTTAAAACTGCATCCTTAAATAAATCATCAATCAACGCACTACATGTGTCCGTCCTCCTTGCATACAGTCTCAAGATTTGCCTCAAGAGTCAAGACTTCTCTTGGAGGTCAGACGAGTTTACAAAAAATAAGTGAAAGTTAATAATTTGAACTTTTTTGCTAAATTTGGCTCTCCTGAAGAATTTGCAAAATAGAACGAAGGGCCGAATGCCGGCGTTACAATGAAGTTACATTAAGTTTGTAATATTTTGAATACTTGTAAAATAATAATAAGCAACATTACTAACTGAGACAAATCTTGCTATCTATTGGATTTCATTCTTCCTTTTCTTAAAATATATTTTAATCATAAATTCCAGGTGAAAAGTGGTCGACAGTTAACATCCTTTCTCTTTTGCCAGTAACGTTGCCAACGCTTACAGTAATAAAAAAATGGCGACCATCCAAACTGGAGGCTGAAGAGGGATTCCTCGTTCTGGCTGCCACTAAGGGAGAAGCTCAGGAAAAACTAAAAAGGAGAAGGGAGAAGCTCACTTCTTACGGTTGTGATTCGCAACCAACAGCTGTTGTGATTGGCACTGCTCCAGGATCACAAGACTGTTTTGTTGTTTTTGATAACTTCTGCTATGTGTGTCAATCTGCTTTAAAAGCAATAGACATTTGCAGGGTTGCCAGCCAAATTATTTTTTTCCATTCCCTGACTTTTCCCTGACATTCCAATATTTTCCCCTGACTTTTAAGTATGGATCTGACGCAGTCTGTTAAAGTGAAAATGAGTCAGTTGATCCCGCAACGCGAGCCCGAGACCGCCCGCGCCTAATTCCACGAAAAATCAGAAAAATCCCTGACCAACACCGAAATTCCCTGACTTTTCCCGGTTGATTGATTTTTTTTCCCTGACTTTTCCCGGTTTTCCCGGTCGCTGGCAACCCTGCATTTGTGTCAAATTAATTACTTTGCTCAAGGTAAAGGCTCCCCCGGAGAGCTTACTCACGTGGCTCTTTATAAAATCTTATATTTATGATTTACCTGATGATCATGAAATATTATATCCAACCCAAAAAACATACCGAAAGGATTTGAACATGCCTTAGATGATACATTAATCATATGGTTTTGAGGTATTTCCTCCCATCATGTAGGTACTGTAGTATTGCAACTCTCATTTTCCGTCTTATAAATTATGCTTATTCTTACTTCCTACTATTAGAGGTGTTTCTTAAGAAGAATTGATCCTTTCTCTTTTTGACATTTACTCGGTTTTTCAAAGCATTTGACAAAATGGATCCTATTCCTTGCTTCGCTCGACATTGCGATGCTGTTTGCGACTCCTTAGTGGAGCTTCTAGCTCATTTTAAAAATGCTCACAAAATGAAGTCTTTTCAACCCGTAAGTTGCAAGTATAAGTCTTGTACACGGTCTTTTACCAATCAACGTACTTTTATCAAGCATTTCAAATTAGTACACGAGAAAGACTCTACTCTACATAGCCCTGTAGTCGATGAATCGGTAGTCCCATTTCCAAATACTCATGTTTCGGAACATGAGAATGATGAAATGCTCACTGTCACACCCTCTGTATATTTAGTCAATACTAAAAATGTCATGCATATAGCGAGTCCCATATTCATGAATATTCAGCTGAAGAGTTTCTAAATAAACAGTTTGTCGATCTCTGCAGCTCATTGCATAGTAGCCTAACCCTTCCTTTTTCTCATGCTAAGAAATTGTAAAATCCATCTTGGACTTGGTTGGAAGTATCAACAGTGTCTATGCAGAACAACTTCTATCCCATTGTAGTGACGAAATAGAGGAAGCTAGGAGTATTTTCCCACGATTAGAAGAAAAGTTTGAATGGGTCGAAAGTAGGGGTGTTCAAACGAATAATTGTCGGAAGTCTACCGATAGAGACCGCTAACGGTAGGAGCGGTAGTCCCGACAGTGACGGTGTTACCGGTAAGGACATCCTTATCGGTAGCTTAACGGTACCTTATCGGTAGCTTATCGGTAGCTTAACGGTAGCTTAACGGTAGCTTAACGGTAGCTTAACGGTAGCTTATCGGTAGCGAAACGACAGTACTATCCTGCCGTGCTAAGGAAGAACGCCGTAAGAAAATTCGAGAGTTGCCACATTTCCTTCGATTAAATGTTCATTTTTGAGGCAAGTTTTGAATATTTTTCCTTGAAATTTCCAAAAGTCCGAGATCAAATTACGAACAAATTATTTGAGAAATTGATAGACAAATATTTAAAAATTTTCCTAAAAATTAGTGATTTGCCAGGGGAAATTTGGCAACGTCTGAAGGTTCATACGGCGTTTTTCCTTAGCACGGCAGTATCGGAGTTGGGCAAGGACACGGCCTGCTAATGACGCCCGCGCCGACCGACGCGTTGAATTCGGGAAAATCCCTCACAGAGTCTCTGCTCTCTGCACCGCACCGCACCGCACCGCACAGCCGCACACACACTCCGCACTTGTTACCTCCGTCTTATCTCCTCTCATTCGACCGATCGCCGACCCTTGTTTGTTGCCTCGTTGTCTGAACCTTGGATCTTCAGCTTTTGCGCCATGCATTCTGGGTGGGTGCAATGGATGCATTTCGAATATTAACCTTTACGCAAATTATTTTGGGTATAATCAAAATTTTTGTTTGGAGAAATCATTGAGGAATCTTCG